AAAATAGTATCCAGGCCGTTACAAAACCAGTAGGGTAGTTAACTGGCCAGCTCCAATGAAGCAACCATAACATAACGACATAATGTCGTGGTGGCCCGGAAGTTTAAGACGCCCGCTTCTCATGCATGAGAGTACAAGTTTGAAACCTACCAACGACAAATACCACTGTATTTTTTTCCGACTTATACATACTTTCTAATATTATCTAGACACCACTGGGAAACGGTGAAAGAAAATATCGTGAGGAAACTTGGAATTATAACTTCTAATTATACCTAAGTTTGAAATCGCCATCCCACTTTGAGTAAGCGTGGTGAATAATGTTCAAACGTTTTCCGTGTGAGAAGAGGCCTTTGGTCAGCAGTTGCCACTTATAGGCTGTTGATAATGATGAATGAATGAACCAACCAATCAGAGACCTACGGTAAGTTTGTACGTAAAGTCTCTGAACTACTATTTCCGAAGCATTGTCACAAACCTCATTTAAAACTCACCCGTCCAATGAAACAGGATTTACGTCTTAACACCAAACTTTAATCAAATGCGTAGTAATTAAATCAAACACGTACTCGAAAAGTTTGCCTCGATCCTTTGACTTCAAGGCATTCGCCTGTAAATTCGGATTTCCATTAAATTAAACACCGTCTTCACAAAACTATTTATAAAGATTCCGTGGTAAGGGGGTTCTATTCAGGATGTGAAATTTGACGTATGAGACCTCTACCGGTTCAAATAAAGCGATGAGCAGCCATTGTGTAGGGTTGAAAGGTGGGACATATCTATCTCATAACCATCGCGACGCCTTATTATTCCTTGTGATTTCTTCATTTTGGTGTAAAAAAGGAAGTATATGGAGTTGTTAATACCGTTTTTATTTCGAATTTGAGTTTTAGTTTTAAAATGTTTTGCAATGAATGAATCTGCGTTGTGTTTCGACGTGTGAGTGACGTTATGAAAGGTCAAATCGTCCTCCCGCCCAAAAAAGTTAAGAAAAAAAAAACGGCAGATATTGCTTACCATCTAGTAATACGCTCGTTTTCCACCATATCCTACAATTTTATTTTGCTTTCCATAAAATATCTTGATTAAGAGTAAACTTCGCGAATTCTAACTTGAATTATATTGGAACTATTTGAATGAAAACTTCTAAAGAATAATTAATGTACCATTACTTGTTTTTGTGCAGATTAAGGTTTAAAGAAATAAATACTTTTTGCATATGGAATAACAACTCTATAAAAATATTCATCTTAGATATGAAAACGTAGCCCATTGCGTGTGAATAAGAATACACGTAAAGGGCTCTATAAGACCCACGTGTTATACGCAACCAAAATGAAATGGCCCCCGCGGATCCAATCCAGGACCCTTTTTCTTTCCATTCTTTTATCAACGTTATAACATAGAGGGTTCCAGATACGCTGGTTCTTTTTGAAGACGATCGCAAGGCGTGTAAGTTCGCATTTATAAAGATTCTGAACGCATTCCACAAATGAACACAATTTAAAGATGAATGCTTCTTTGGATTCTCAATTTGAATGAACATTCAGTTTGATTTGACCGTAATGACGTCATATTTTGTCGGTCCAATGTTTTGGGAAAATAGGGTGACGCGAAAAGTAAATCGTTTATGTAGATGGTACGACTTGTACTTATTTCTGGGTCTTTGTGTCTTGTTGCTTATCTATGTTAAGCGTGACGGTGCCATTTCACGACGTATTTTTTTTTTCTTTCATATAAATTACCCCTGTTTAGTGATAATGACTAATGTAGTTATCTTTACTTATACAGGGATTTAGAAAAAAATCCGACATTCCCTGCAATGCAAATCTTGTTCTCTTATACCTTTTTTTTTGAGGGCGGAAAGTCATCCGATGACTTCTCCCGCCCGGGTGAGGCGAGAGGGAGTGTCAGACTCTGACTCTACTGACTAAAAACCACCCCGTTCCTACTCCTGCACTTGGAGCCGGAGCCCCGACAACCCGTTAAGTCTTCTTTTGGTCGGCCGGCGAGTCACCAGTGCTCGCCGTCCGCAGGCCCGTGCTTACGGTGGCCGGAGATCGTTTCGCGACAAATTGTCTCTCGCGATGTTCTCTTATCTACCTACCATCTTACTAATACTTTAATTGTATAGGTAGCGTCATCCTCGCTAATTATACTAGTAGTAGGCACTAATCTGGGCACGCTGTCACAATATTTAAAGATGAACACATTCATAAAAAAAATATTTATACTCTATGGTCATCTCACTGGCAACATCATTGTACTTCTTTGTGCACGACCTGTCACGTCGTACCCTGGAA